CTCAGCAAAAAGTTTGAGGAGGTAAGATGCCTGTATTGACCCCAACCCCACCTGGCTGCACTCATCAGTTCCCCCCAGAGTAATGTGGCCCCTGGCCCCTCTGCAGATTAGCTGGAGGAGGGGTACTCACCACACACAATGGGGCCCTTTTACTTCCAGTGGAGGCCTGGCCCTGAGCTCCAAACAACGCTCTCAGCACAGTATGTGCTCCTTCTATTTCTCTTTTTTACTCAAATGCTTTTCTCCTCCTCCCCCCACCCCCCATCCTCCTGCTCCCCTCTTATTTCTTGGCATGATGAGCACAGACAGGCTGTTTACCTGGAGGGACTGAAAGAGGGAAGGAGCAATAGTGATGATAGCTGGTGAATAAACAAATCCTGACCCAAAAAGGAGGGGAGTTCACCACACACCATTAAAGCCTTTACACACCAAGAAATGGCACAGGGCTGACTGTATTTTAAATAGGAGGCTCTCATTTACCCCCCAGCCTGCTGGCAGCCGCTCTGCAGTGGCAGAAGAGGGTCATGCAGTTGCCATGTGCATGAATAAGCACAAATTTCTCCCTTTTCTGCCACGGCTGCTAATGTGTCAAACTTTTGCCAATCAGAAGAGGAGGGGTTTGTGGCAATAGTGACATCCAAAAAGGATTAAAATATTTCTCAAAAGGATGCCAGAAAAACATTATAGCAGTATATTATAGTGAATAAAATATTTGAAGTCAGAGGCTAGTTTTTTTGTAAGCTTCTTGGTGTGTGTGTCTGTATGTGTGTGTGTGTGTGTGTGTGTGTGTGTGTGTGTGTGACAGGAAGAGAGACAGAGAGGCAGGCGTCCCTTCCAGGGTGAGGTGGTAATGCTCAGTGACAAGGATAAACAGCGCTGGGGTTTGCTCCTACCAGGAGAGGGGGGGTGAGAAGGAGGAGGTGGGGAGGAGGTCTGTGTCAGACTCTCTCTCCTCCTCCTGCTTTCTCCTCTGTCATTTTTTCAATTATCCCTCTCTCCTGCGTGTCCCCATAGACCCAGAGGCAGGGCCCGCATCATTTAGACTGAGAGCCTGTTTAGATTCTGATTATAGACTCCTTTCTTCTCACCACTCACTGCCTCACACATACCCACAGTTACACACCACGTACTGGCTGCGCATTTGTGAACCAGCATGAGGTAAATAACTGTAGCAGTGGGCTAAAATGTATCTGCTTGTGAAGCTCAAGGGACTGTTGAGGGGAACACTGGCTGTTGCTCACGGCCGCGTGGTTTGTGTGTTTTCTGTATTTATGTCGGAGTAGTAGTGGACAAAACATTGTTAAGATCATCCATCCATCCATCCATCCATCCATCCATCCATCGTCAACTGCTTATCCGGCGTGCAGAGTCGCGGGGGGCTGGAGCCAATCCCAGCTGACATCGGGCGAAAGGCGGGGTACACCCTGGACAGGTCGCCAGTCCATTGCAGGGCCACACATAGACAAACAACCACTCACACTCACATTCACATCTAAGGAAAATTTTATTGTTAAGAACATCTTTGCTTATTTTAAAGTGATGGTTAAGGGAGCCGTGTTTTGGATGTATTTTTGTAGTCAGAGACCTCAATTAGAAGGAAGGGGAAGGTGTGAAATCCAAAGTTCACGCCTAAATTAGAGAAGATGCAGTCATTTAACTAACCTGTCTCTATATAAACATGGTGCTGAGCTGCACTGGGCCTATTCCCCCTGCTGCATGCTGGTTTAATATCAGATCGCCCTCCTTCCTCTTTTCCTGAGGTTTGATCTGAAATGGAAAGTGGGGCTTCCCTCCTCGTTAGAATGAAAAGTCATCAAGGGAGGAGAGGAGAGAGGGATGGAGCCTCATTGAAATGCAAGATACATCCCCCGTCTTTCTCTCTCGTTGCTCCTCTGGGACTCCATGCCTTTCTCCTCCTTCTCCTTCCCATCTTTAGGGCGCTCCCTCGCTCCCTCTCTTCCTTTGTTAATCAGTTAAACTCCCTCTTCAAACAACCCCTCTAATTACTCCTCCACTCTCTGTAAACGACAAGGCTGTCTCTCGCTTCTCCTCTCCCTCCTCCTCCTTTCCCTCCCCCAGCTCCCCCTCTCCTAGACAGGGGTTGACCTCTGTCAGCCACCGACCCCTCAGCAGTTTGTATGTGTCTGTCTGTCTGTGTGTGTATGTTTGTGTGTGTGTACGTGCACATATGACTCATTCTTGCATGTTAATGATAGGAGTGACTTTAGGCTTTAAAATTTCACATTTCTTATTCTTAGATTAGTACTTTCACCCACTGTACCAGATTGTGAGATTAGTCACCCACATTTGTGTGTGTCTTTGCTGTCCCAACCATCGCCCCAGGCTCTAGGCCACACTTTCCCCTTCCAAAAACCTGCTGGGTTTTCTCTTTCTGTCTGACTCTTCACACACATCTCTATTTTTCCAACGATTATTTCCTTCCTTCCCCCATCTCTCTCCCTCACTTCCCTGCTTCTTTCCTTTCTTCCAGTAGGTGGATGGTATCCTTCCTTCTCCCCTCGCATTGCCCCCCCTCCCCCCCACCCCAACTTCACCTCTCTCCCACTAATCTACCACGCATCTCTCTCTTTTAAATTAACATGCAACATGAAAAAAATGGGACAGCGGGAAAAAAATTAAATGCATTTAATAAATGGCTGACTTCAAATCGCCCGGCTTTTCAGACTCTCCCTATTCACAGTCCAATGAAAGGGGAGAAATCATTCACCGGGAGAGACAAAGCCGAATGAAAATATAATTCCGCATTGTGAGGCGCTTTTGTCCTGGCCCGTCAAATCGCTAATGGCGAGGCTTTTGTTTTGTGGCGGCTCTCTCAGGCTGGCGGTGTCGTATGGCGGTGGCAACGCATGCCCCATAATCACCACGCTTTGTGATATTAGATTATAGGGGCAATTAATGGCGTCAAACCTTAACTACTCAGCATTCAGCCTGCCACACACACATTCAGCCGTTAAACACATGCATACGTGCACCCATCAGCACACCCACATGCGGTACAGTATATCAGCACTTGCACACACGGACGCACTTTTAGTTCCGGCGTCAGAGCGTCAGCCAACACACAGAAAGGTGCTATAACTCCAGTAATTATTACGCTTGTGACTTGAAAATGTCAATGGCGGTGTGTATAAAATAGAATGTATGAGTTGTCGGGGAGGAAGAATGGGATGCACAAGAGCAATTAATTACAGCTTTTCATTTGGCAGCTTAGACTGACAAGGCCCAGCGGCGGGGGCAAGCTGGCATGACGCCAAGCAGCACCCTTCACCACCCCCACCTTACTCACTACAGCCCTCCGCCTCATCCCCTCTGCCTGTTCCTTTACCAACTGCCACAACACCACCCTTCCTCACCTCGCTCTGACTCTGTCTTTTCTTCTTCTCCCACTCCCTCAACTCAAACACACACATACACTCCTGCGCTACAGCTCATTCATCTACATACCCTAACACACTTCTCTTCTACTTTCCTAGTACAGACCCACATCTGCTCAGCCCACTCCAACCTAGTCCCGAGCGAGTCCCCTCGCCAATACATCTGGCTGGGAGTGTGTTTAGTTAGGGAAGCCTCGTTTGATAAAGGCAGAGTGTGGGACCACTGACAGACACACAGAGAGAAAAAGAGACAGAGATAGATAGAAGGAGGGAGGCATAGAGGGGGAGACAGGGGGCCAGGTGGGGAAGAGGGTGTTAGTATTTATGGCCAGTCTTGTTTACAAAGTCAAATCAGCTCTTTATAGATTTAATTTACCAGTGACAGCTCGTCCCCTCTCTTGCACTCGAGAGCACAATTCCCTCACACATCACCCTCCCCACCTGCCATCCCCTCAGGTGGTGAGTAGATAGACTGCTCTGAGGCGAGCTCTGAACACACTGGCACTTGTGCATGCCCACACACACAAAAGCCCACACACAGACTCACAGTCTGACCATGAGAGAGATTGATATTTCACCACGGAGTGAATATAGATAAACGGCCAATTTCAGAGGTGATAACTCACCCTTGTATTTCTCTGTAAAACAGCCGTCACTTCTAACAGACTATTTGTATTGAGAAGGCAGTATAGTATATTGATGTGTGGACAGTGAAAGAAGGGGATTGAGATCGAGTCTGGGACAAAATATTTTTTAGTGCCTGAACTGCTCTGTCTCTTTATTACTGTTATTTTTTTCACAAACCTTAATACAGTTATTAAATGCAAAAACACTTCGTCAGCAGGATTGTCTTTGTGGTTTTTCATATATACGGTTGCCATTTATGCATGCATATGAGTGCCTCAGTTTCTGCTTTATGTGGTTAGTTTTTCTTCAGTTTTGCAGTGTATGTATTCAGATTAGTATCTCGGCCCATCTCTGTGTACAATTTATGTGCATTAGGAGTGCTTGCACAACACATCTGCAAAAATCACCACATTTCTTTCTCTGTGTCTTTGCCTGCCTGCAGCTCTATCTGATGAGATAGACATCTCATCAGATAGCCACTTTGTTGTTCCTTTCTTCTTAGCCAAGCTTGACTGTGTGGAAAGAGAATCAGAGACTGTCCTAATAATGTGTTTATGGAAGCAGATAAGATTTTATATCTTATGGGGAGATTGCATATGTGTCCGTTTATCTGCCTGTTGTCACATAGATTTTTTTTCCTTTTACAATGCCAGCCTTGTGTAGGAACATGTCAACAATGTGCCGTGGTGCTGTCTATTTATCTTTGTCTGATGTTGCCAGCTTTTCTTAGCAGCGACTGACAAAAAAGAATAAGATACAACACACCTCTCTAAGTTTACCTGTCCATACCAGCATTCTGTACAACCTCCATTCAGATTGTTTGTTTTCAGTTGAGCATGCTGTTGCAAGCACAGTCATGCTTGAAGCTCAAAGGCACAAAGCTTAACCCATTGATTGAGTTGTCCTACTTTTACAAGCTAGTATCTTAAGGGTGAATAATCTAAAATGTCTCTGTGTATATGCCTTTGCTGTCTTTAG